TGGTCGGCCCCAGGTTACCCCGTAGTGGAGAGGCATGGGCCAGCCTCCAGACGAGGTGCCGTAGGGGGGACAGGACCACCAATTGCCTCCCTTTCAAGTCGCCTCCCTCTTCCCGCTGCACCCGATATAGCAACCCGCCTATTACCTCGAAGCCCTCCTGTCTCCGAGACGTTCCCTCTCCGGGGTCACTGGTCCTCAGCTGCTGGAGCTCCTGGTCCTCCCGTTGAGCTTGTCAGAATTGTGCCGCGCTCACCAGGGATGCCACACTAATGCCTTCCCCGCCTTCCCGACAGGGAGGCTCCGGGGTCTCAGCCGCCCATCCTTCCATTCTTTTAATTTACCTCCTCTCCTCCTCGGTGGCTTGCACCCGTTCTAACACCCAGTAGAAGGGTTCCCATTCGTGTCCCAGGAACATTTCACAGGCTAGGGTGGAGGCCAAGCCCACCCATAGTTTGCCACAGAACTCCATCACCCTAATGGGTACGTAGCAGCAGCGAAAGTGCATTTCCCCACCTAGAATGCAGGTCATGCTGATGACCCCCGCCTCTTTCCTTTTCCCCAGCGGGGCTAGGTCAGCCCGGAGCAAGGACTGAGAACATCCCGTGTCCAACATGGCCCTCACAGCCCGACCGTCTACCCAGGCTGTGACCATGGGACAGTTCCACCCTTCTTCCAAGCAGGTGAACCCCACACTACAATCCATGGATTCCCCCATGCTTTTCTCTCTGCCCTTCTCTCTTGTCGGCACATATCCCGCAGGACCCTGGCTTAGCTCACTTAGCCCCATCCCGCAGTCCCGGGCAATGTGACCCGTGTGTCCACATTGGTAACAAACTACCCCCTTCGGGCCCGTCTTCCTAGGGGCTGCCCGGCCTTCTGCCCCGCTCCCGGAGCCTTCTCTCGTGATCCGGAAGCCTCGTCTGCCCCCTTTCTCCTTTTCTGAGTTCGAAAAGGCCTCCGCCAGGCACAAGGCCTCCTCACTGGACCACGGTTGGTGTCGCCGCACCCATCTCTGGGTGTCTTCTTCTAAGTTCCAGAGGAACTGTTCCAATAATATCTGATCCAACACCCCCGTACGATCAAATTTGCCTACCGGCAACCATTTCTGCAGGGCGTCCCGGAGAGTTTGCAGCAAGCCCCAGGGTCACAGGGCATCCCGGAGAGTTTGCAGTAAGCCCTGGGGTCGCTTACTCTCCCTCGATTTGTGCGCCCTGAATGCCTGCTGGTAACTCTCGGGGGAGATCTCCAGCCGGTACAAAATTGCGGCTTTGACGGCCTCATAATCCTGGGCCTCCTCCCTAGACAGTGCCCTGTATGCTGCTTGGGCTTCATCGATCACTAAGGCCCCCAGCTGATGGCCCCATTGGCTCCGGTCCAACCCTGTCTGAATGGCCGTCCGCTCAAAGGCCTTGATGTAGGCCTCAGGATCATCGTCCTTAGTCATGCGGGGAATTCTGAACAGGGCAGCATTGCGCTATATCCACTCTTGCTGATGCGCTCCCTGTAATTGTTGGACCGCCAACAACTGCCCGATAGCCTGGACTGCTTGAGTCAACATGTCCACCTGGGATAACCTTGATGGCTGCATCTTGTTTTATTCCCGGGTGGGGCTCTGCCCCATAGGCACTGGCGCTGTCACCAAGCTTCCCGGCCAATGCACCACTGTGACATTGGTGGACCTCACGTCCGGTAACACTCTTCGTCAGGTAGTCCCTCCCCCGCATCCTGCCTGCCACGACTTCGATGTTATGGGTGATTCCGTGGAGTTCTTC